ACATTGTTGAAAGTCTTTTCGAAGTCAACCTTAAAAAGAAATCTCCCCTTCTTGCTTTTCTTGAGAGAGTCAATTAATTCGTTGGCTATCAGAAAACAATCTAGTATTTATCGTTCTTTTACAAGGGCAAATTGGTTGACACCACAACTGAACTAATCACTGACTTAAGTCTTCAAGTCAAGGACTTTTGTATGGATTTTGTAGGAGCTTCCCATGAGACTTATTGGCTGGTACTGAGATAAGGCTATGAGGCCACTAACCTTTGGAACTAAAGTGATGAATGAGGCATTAATATTAGGGTTGAGTTTAGGGGTTCTATAAAACTCAGTCATGAAAGAGATAATTTCTATTTTGAAGAGCGACCACTGTTTTTTGAAGATGTCCATGTTGAAACAGTTCGGCTCGGGAGCTTTGTTCCCATCACATTATTGGACAGTGTTCCAAATTTCATCCTTAGTGAAGGATGCCTCGAGTTAGGATCTTTGATCAGAACTGATCGAGTTGAGAGGACAGTTAAACTCTTTAAGCCTTAGGATGCCCTGTTTCCTAAAGAACTTAGAAAAGCTAGAGACCACCTCCTGTTTAATGGTATCAGGATCCTACGACAGAGACCCATTGCATTTCAGGTGATACATGCTATTGATTCTTTTTCGATTAAAAGCCATAAAGTGGAAGAATTTAGTGCTGTGGTCACCAAGTTTATTCCACTGGAGGCGAGATTTTTGTAGCCATGATCACTCTTTCTTGAGTATGAGTTTCCACAGATCAGTTTTACAAGTAGAGTAGTTAGTTTTCTCCTAGTGGTTGAGTTGGTCAATGTCAGTTTCAAGCTGAGTGATTCTTTTAGAGTCCTCCACATGATGAAGTTGCTGCTAGGCTTTAACAGATTGCTTCTTCATCTTGATTTTTATATATAAAAAAAACTAAAGTTAGGGGAAGCTGTATCCATAATCTGTTCCTAAGATGTTTGGATATGGGCTATGAATTCCCTGTTGTCCAGCCAATGAGAAAATAACTTTTAAGGATTTAGGCCCTTGGTCGGATTGGTCAATAGAGAGAGAGATGGGATCATGATCAAAAGTAGATCGTGGCATTGTCTTTTGAATCACGATTGGGTGTTTTGAGATGAAGTTAGTGTTTACAAGAAATCGTTCAAGGCGACACGTGGTAGGAATTTCCCTGTTATCAGACTAAGTGAAGTCCTCCCAAAAGAGAAAGATCAACTAGTTCCACAGAGTTAATAAAATCAACAAAAAGAGCCATACTTGAATATTGGAGATTATCCCTTGTTTTCTCTTCCACTATCTTAATGATGTTGAAATCTCCACAAACACACCATGAGCCCTCATAAGAGTTCTTAAGTGACAAAATTTCCATCCAAAGGCTAGAACGCTTCATAGGCTACTTTGGAGCATAGATGCTTATAACAGTGCATTGGAAGTTGCTATCCCTCCAAATTTTAGCATGTTTAGTTGAACTTTTTTCTTTTTGGTTTCTTGAAGAAATAACATCTCAGGTTTCTTGGAAGAAACAAGTTTTTTTACTGCTTGTCTTTTAATCCTAAATCCAAGGCCTCTAATGTTCCAAGAAATTATATTAATCATGAAAACTAGAGAGAGTTTGTGCCTTAAAATTTCCCCTTATCCGTTGGAATTTCATTGATGTTGGATGTGGGGCGATCTCAAATGAAAAAAGTACTTTCCCAGTCCATATTAGACCTTTTTTCTTTATACTTTAAGCCTCTAATTATCTCAAGTTCATAAAAGCTTTACTTTAAATTTTCATCATAATATGTATTGACTATTTTCTTTCACCTTCTCCATCAACTTCTTATTAATTCCATGGTTATCAACTGGCAAATATTGGCAACTTCAGTATTAGAACAAAGCATAAATCACACAATCCGTTCAAATCAAGAAAATCCTATTCATTTAACCTGAAAGAAACCCCATTTCTCGCAATCTTCATGCTGAAGTGCCATTGTTTTGCTCCTTTTCTTACCATGGAGTTCATCAAGATCTATTGCAGGAATCTCCATCCTTTCTGCTCTTTCTAATCCAGATTGCAGAAGATGGGTAACTTGGAGGACTATTTATAGGCTTTAAAAACAATAGTAGTTTTAGGTAACTATAAACACCATTCTTAGGAAAATCATTTAGGTTCCTTGAAAAGAGTCAGGACATGCTTAATAAGTCCAAGTTTAACTCATTGCCACCGTGTTATTCACTGCAAACCGTTTCTCCTTCCTTGTCATTGATATGGTCAATCATGCTCCCTTGTGAAGTACACATTAGTTTCTTTTACTTCCCTAAAAAAAAACTTTTGCTTGATTGGATTACTAGGCCCAAGTCATCCGCTGCATCATCTGCACTTCCTCTCTTTAGCTTTAATATTCAACACACTGTCCCATTTTTTTTGGAAACTTTTTTTTGATGAACTGGCTATTTCTTACATTGAACAAAACTAGGGATAGACACGATAATAGTTTTGTCTATGTTAAAATTATATTGCAAACTTTTGGATGTAATTACGATTTACTTTCGTAATGTGTAAGATAAAATTAAACGTTGATTTTATTGTATCTTTAAAATTATTTATATAATTTTCTTTTATATATTAGTAGTAAAAGCAAAATAAATCTTAAAAGATAGAATGGTTCACTTTAAAGTTAATTTTATCGGTTTTTTAAATTCTAACGAAATCCCATTTGTATCAACATAAATGGGATCTTAAGAAGGAATGTAACAATGGGCACTTCTTCTTTTTTTGCTTGTTGGCTTTTGTCCTTTATTTATGATGGCATTAGTATGAAATATGATAAGAATATTTCTGAAATCTTAGCAGGAAAGATGAAATTGATTGTTAGCTTCTTGTTGTGCACCAATTAATCATGATTATGCAACTATCAGGGGTAGAGGGAAAAAGGTTACAGTCATCATCCTTCATTTTTTTATTTTTTTCATTTATATATATAATTCAAAATATCTAGATTTGCCACCCTTACACAAATCAAATGTGTTGTTTCGGACTAGTGGTAGGAAACTTAAATTAATCTTTAATGGTCTAAGTTTAATTCCTTTTAGGTCTAAATTTTAGAATTATTTTTTTCTTGAAAAATCTAATATTAATTTTTCTTTTATTTATATTGGTGAATTTGAAAACTTATATAAGTTTAAATCTTTAATGAAATTTTATTTCATAATCTAATTTTATATCCAAAGTGATTAATTTTTAATGAGAAAATATAATGTTAATTTTTCTTTCTACTTTATGTTTATTATGATGCCTAATGTAAGGATCTAATATTAATTTTTCTTTTTACTTTATGTCTATTTATATTGGTAAATCTGAAAACTTATATAAATTTAAATTGTTAATGAAATTTTATGTTATAATATAATTTTATATCAAAAGTGATTAATTTTTGTTCAGAATCCCAATCCATAACCCGATATAATTATTGTTTAATCACTCTTTATACAAAATCCTAGATCCTCTACTGATAACTATGATGTGTAACTTCATATAAATATTTGCAAGATGATAAATTTAGTAGTACAATGTGGTTTTAATCAGTGTTGGATCATCGCATATTATATTATATGTATGACTTTGCAGAGTATGCATGCATTTACATATAATTTAGTTAAAAAAATTAAAAATTAAAATATTTATAAATATTCGTATGTTTTGAAACATATAAATATGAAGAATGATGTTGACAGAGAGTAGACCTTAGCATGTGAGTAAAGTTAACTGTAAAATGTTTAAACTTTGAAAGTCAATGAATTTATAAGATTTGTTCATTCATTGAATAAAAAAGCAAAATCACATAATCATATCCTTCAAATTATTAAATAAAGTAATATAAAGAACATGGCGGCTCAATAATTTCAGAAGCTTAAATCTAAATATTCAAATGAGACATTTTTTATTAAAATTAAGAAAAAAATATTAAAATTTTATTCTTCTAACCTTTTGAGATGTAAAATTTTTAATTAAATTTTTTATATTATAAATTGAAAAAAATTTGGTTTTATATATATAGGAAAAAAATAGTTGTTGGAGATCATTTTGAGAATTATAGTAGTGTGAGAATTAAGAAGCAATAGTAGTGTGAGAATTAGGAAGTAATAAAAAATTGAGATTTATTAAATACATAATTCAGAAAGTAAGCGTATATAATTATCTTTGACTTTTACATTAAACATGAGATAAATAGTTAAAAATTAATAGGAATGTAGAAAGTGAGAAAAAATAAATATTTGTTAGGCACTTAATTTAATAAATGAGAGAATATGTAAATATTTTATTAATTATTTTAATATATATATTTTTTATATAATTAATTATATTATTATAAAATTATGAAACTTATGAAAAATTAAAGCTTAAAATACGGGCTTTCGTTACTTTATTACAGAGTCGGTTTTGATAAAAAAAAAGACAAAGAAAGAAAAAAAAAGAATTGACTTATTAGCATCTATTTAAAGAAAAAAAAGTAATGATTATCCACTGATTTAGTGATTGTAGAATAGTAGGTAATTGATTATTTTTGGTACTTAATAGGCAAATAATAAACAAATATAGAGAGTCATTTTAACTTCATCTTCAAGTGTTTAATTTTGGTTTAAATTTTCTACTCAGTAATGTCTCAAACAAAATTTGGGCCTGAAGAAATGTCCAAACCCGACCCAGATATACCTGATATACGGGCTTGGAGGCCCAACTGTGGCACCTCTAGGCTAGCCGCTTCCATGAGTCCATACACACCATACACTCTGGTCCCGAGTGAATTCCAGCTTTTCTTTGGGGGAGGGTGCAAACCACAGCCCAACCACTTTGGTTGTGCAATTCCCTGTTCGGAATTCCATATTTTTATGGACAATGTTAACGGCGCAATCTTCAAAATGTAGCGTTCTTCACACGCGAAATCGTCTAGCGCGTAGGAGTAGGATCAACACCAGATATATGTGAGTACAATATGGACATTTTTGTACTTTTACTCAACCTCCATTTCCAAGCTAACAAACTTTTTTCCCTCTCGTTCTCCACAAACCAGAGAGAGAAGAGGAAATAGGGTCCAAAACTCACTCTTCATTTTGCTAACTTACGCATCAGCTATTCTACGCACCTTTCCATTCGCCTTTTCTCTCTCTAGGTGTTCTTTTTTTCTCTCACTAAAACCTCTGCAATGAGGGGGAGACTCGTGGCTTTCTTCTTCATTTGCGATCTCTTCGTATTCTTCACTTCCGTCGCCACCATTGAAACCGATTCCGAGTCGGCGGCCGAGATCAATGTCACTGCCTCCAAGTCCAATGCCTCAGACCCGAGATCCAAAGAGGATAGTTTCGCCGACATGATCGATCGCGCTCTTGAGAAGGAGTTCAATGACACTGACCAAAATGAAGGTCGGTACTAGATCTGAACTCTTGTTCAGTCTCTCTTTTTCCATCTGCATTTGGTTTTTTAACAATGGTGGTGGAGGTAGGGTTTTGAAGATTTTGGATCAGCTCTTATTTCACTCAATTTCGCTTAACTTTGTGTTTTCCATTTAATTGTTTTAATATTTACTACTTATTTTATCCCCGTTCATTTGTGTGCAGTATTTTATTTAGAGAAATTTGTGAGCATTTTTGCATTGCGTCTAAGTACTTTAAAATTGCAACGAAAAATGAGAATTGAAAATTGAAATTCCCCCTTTTTTTTTCTGTTGTTATAAGTTTTAAAATAGAAAGCTTATTGGGCCTCGTTGAATTCCTCTATTTTTTTAGTTCCAATTATTGGAATTCTTATTAGTTTTTGCTTTTGCAGCCACTGATCCTGGTAGTTTCAACAATAGTGTTGCGGGGAAGCAGGTTGGTAGTAGCATTCTTTAAAATATTTATTCATTTTCAGTGACCTTTTAGTTTTGAAAGTGATTATGTGCTCATGTCAAGCACTCAAAATTGGGAATTCTTTTGTTGCATGGTGTGTACTCTCAACATAGGAATGTGAAGAAATGTTTCAGGCAGTTGGCTGCTGTTAAATTGCTCTCAGATTTGTCAGTTTTAGTGGTTAGATAACCTTGAACATGAATAAAAAAAAAAAAGAAAATTCTTGGACCAGATATTATTCACTATTGTTATTTAGGATTAGTTATAATTTGGACAATATCTGTTCTAGTTTCAACCCAAGAAAAACGATGGAGGTCCACTCTTGCAATAAACATAAGGGTTTTTTCTCGTTATGGAAAATGAAATATATTTTGTTGATTGAACTTTAAATACTTGTCTGTTTATGATATTTTCTGTTGAGTATTAAAGAAACTCTTGGTCTGGGCGGTGAGAATAGAATTTGTTTGTTTTTGTCAGGCTGTCTTGGAAACTGTTGCTAGAGTTAAGCCCAAGAAAAATGAATCCAAGGAAGAGAAGTAAGTGATTAATTTTTCTTTGATAGCAATTCATTTAACATGATAGGACTACCTCTTCTGATATTGTATGCTTCACTAACCCGCTTTCAATGACAGCTTACGTTTTTTATGAGCCTTATGTCAGGTCATTTCAGCTCCATGATGTTTTCCATTTGGATAATGAAAATCGAGGAGAAGATGCACCGACCTTAATAGATCAAAATGTATGTCTAGAAAATGTTGTCTCTGGAAACTTCTATCTAGTTGACAATTTGCTTCAGTGTTTATATTGATTATGATATTGGTGCTTCAAGCAAATGCATATTTGGTGTTGTTATATTTAAAGTAGACAAATTGTTGATCATGCTGGGATATTCCTTTTCAGGACAATGTCTTTATAATATCCAACCCAAAGTCGAAGTATCCTGTTCTACAACTAGACTTAAGGTTATCCTTTTAATATATATTTTTTTAATTTAGTTTTGACGCCATACAATTGTAATGGAAACAACTTTTTGATTATTCAAAATTGCTTCGTGCAGATTGATATCAGATCTGGTAGTTGTCATTGTCTCTGCAACATGTGGTGGCATTGCTTTTGCTTGTGCTGGACAACCGGTTAGACTGCTACTGTACCTTTTATGTCTTTTTTCCAATATTGTGCTGCTAGCTAGATTGATTCTCTGTCTCTACTTGAAGCTTTGTAAATTTTATTCTTGATTTGCAGTGATAGGCCTTCCCTAAAGGAGCATTTTATGCTTACATTTTGAAATTTCAGGTTATTACTGGATATCTACTCGCAGGATCTATTATTGGGCCTGGTGGGTTTAGCTTTGTTGGGGAAATGGTGCAGGTATGTTGCTTTTGCTTTATGCTAGCTGGCAGTTGACTTATCTTTAGCTCAATAAGTGTTAATAATCCTTATATTTATTCACTGGTGTATTAGACATCAAGATATGTAAAGTGAGGTTCAAATTGATTACCAGAATGAAGCAGGATATCTGAATCTCATTCCTACCAGGAAGCAAATCCTTTTTGTGTTGGAGGGGGGTGTATTTTAAGCATTGGATCCCAGAGATGGTGATTATTCTCCGTAGGGGTGTGCAAACAGTTATTTCGGTTAGTTTGGTTTTGGATATCTAATAACTGAACTAACCGAACTCATAATTAAAAATAACCGAAACCAAACTGAGCTATACAAATAACCGAGCTAACTGAAACCAAACTAATTCGGTTAGTTTGATTCGGTTTCCAAAAACCGAACTTGACAAATTTTTTATTTTTTGTATATATTTATTTATGTTGTATTTTTTTTAATAAATCAATACTACAAAATATTAAAAATGATAATAAAAAATTATAATAAATAAGATGGATACTCATATAATTAAAGAGAAACTAAAGAGGAGAGATTAGATTTAGGATTTATTTTTCTTGCAAAATCCCCGTAATACCCTTACTTAAGTTTGGTTAGTTCGGTTAGACATTTTCCTAACCGAAACCGAACTGAATTAATGTTAATAACCAAACTATCCTAACTGATCTATCCAAAGAACCAAACTAACCGAACCGAAAAAACAGAACTCATTTCGGTTCGGTTCGGTTTACATTTGCTCACCCCTAAATTTCTCCATATTAAATCGCTAAAAGGAAAGAGAAAAATGGGTTTTTGGGAGAGCTGGTTAATGAGTTAGATAAGATCTCTGTTGCTTGGACTCGGCAGGAGTACTCGTGTTGACACAACTTGACACCGACCTGGGTGTGGGATCTGTTTGATTTTCCAGGATTGTCTAACCAAATTGGACTAGATTGCTACCATAACCAAAATTTTCTTCTTCACTTTCCTCACATTTTTACCTTTCAATTATTGTAAAATCTTCATTCCTCACAACAATTAGGATACTACTTATCATTGATTAGGGAAATTAGGAGACGAAGCATGAAGAACAAGAAGAGGAAAAGGATGTTGAAAAATTGAGATAGCAAAGAAAGACTGAAGAAAGTGGTCAAATCAGTACAGAATGACTCAAATGCAAAGAAGGAAGAGTACAAAAAAGAGAAACATCTAGAAACAAAGAAGAAAATGGACAGAAAATAATTGAAAATTTTGGGGTTTCTATATTTTACAGATGGGATTTGTGTTTATAAAAGTTAAAACTTAAAGGTTTAGATTCAATCACGTGCTCTACTTTTCACCTTGTCATTTGCACCAACTTATTTTTCTTTTTATTTTTTGTCCCATTATGGTTTATTTTGCTGGGTTTGCGTCCTTTGGGGCAATTAAGATAATTGGGCTTCAATTATTTATGCACGGTGACAAGGAGGTTGATTGCCTGTATGATTTTGCCTTCTTTTAAGGACTTAAAACCAAGACACTAATAACACATCTTCTCTTCCAAAAAAAAAAAAAGAAAGTTAAAACACCAGAAGAGTAATATTAACCATCTGAATATAATAATTTGGACAATGAGTCACCGCACCTGTATCCTTGTTTCAGACCTTTTACGGTTGTTTCCTCGTGTCGTTGATTCCATGTAGTTGGCATGTTAGACACTAGATATGTACACACACCCGGCACTCATAGCTGAGCCCAAGCAACATAGGATAAGACACAAACTCATTTTGGACATTTTAGAAATCATGATACTGACTGAAGATGACTCCTAGGCTATTTGTTATGATAAGTAGAAATACTTGTGCAGATGCATAGCTACACTGACATATGTAAAGTAACTAAGGCCTATGAGCATGATGTGGTATAGTGCACAACTATGATATTTACTTATCAATGCAAGAATTCACCCAAATACCCTTGCTTTCAGCTGATGTTATGTAATATTTTTAAATTTTAGCTTTGATTAGGATATAATTCTCCTTAGTTTCTACTAGGTTGATACTTCCCTGCATGCAATATGTTGCTAGAAAGAGAACCAGGCCAAGAAATGTATTTATATGTGTTAAAATGGTAATGCACGTGCTATTACTTGTGCTGCTGTAGCAAGTAAAACAGTTTTATTAATTCTCCATTGATGTTTGTTGATGGAAACTGTGGTGGTGATAGAAGCTTATAAATTTGTATAGTATTACTTTTCCTTTTTTATTTTTAAATAATTTCACTTCCTATTTTCATATTTTTATTGGTACGTTCATTCAGGTTGAAACAGTGGCTCAATTTGGTGTAATCTTTCTTCTTTTTGCATTAGGCTTGGAGTTTTCTACAACAAAGGTTTTCTTGTTGCCTTGGTACTTTCCTTGTTAGATTCATTCCTTCGATCAATAATCCTTATCTTGTAAAAATTCTTGCAGCTTCGCGTAGTTCGAGCAGTCGCTGTTCTTGGAGGTCTTCTTCAAATTTTTCTATTCATGTGCTTGTGTGGTATAACCGTCTCGGTATGTCTCATATTGTTAGAATCATTTTATATAAATGTTTGATATATAAAGCCTTAGGGCATAAAACCTTTGAATTTCTTGGATTCTGAATTTTATTATGTGAGGTTAATAATTTGTACCCGACAAAGAATTAAGATTTTAATTGTATTGTTGAGAGACTACTCAATAGTTTTTACACATAAATTGACAATTAATGGGTTAATATCCTTAATTGAACTTCTTAAATTTCATAAATCAAGGTCAATGGTCCTTGCCCTCATCATACTGCATATGATAAATGAAGCTTTTCTTCTAGGTAGTCATGGCTTGTGTGACTCAACTCTATATCCCTTGCATGTGTCTTTCTCCATTAAATTTTTCTTTTCAGTTTTCTCTCTAACTTGTACGCCAAATAGTTTTCTCAATCAGTCTATCACATGTTAGATTTCAATCTGCAACACTTGACTTATCACACACCAGTCTTCCACATAAGTCTTGAATTATGCTGCTTGCTATTGTTTCATTTAATGGGTGCTAGGAATACTACAGGTTTGGTGTTCACCCGGCACCATGTGGAACAGATAAACATATACCCCTGTGGGGTTAACTTGGCTTGAAGTATTGGTCTCTCTAGTTTCCATCTTCATGGTTGTTTTGTATTGACATTGGTGGTATTTGCACAAAAATGAGGTGTTGGTCATATGATTCCAACATTTAACTTCAGAAGCTGTGAATGATGTGTTTTTTCAATATTATGATATATCATTTGCGTATTAGACTTCTAGGCCATCTGGCCTAAGTGAGCATTGTCCCATGGTTGTTTGGGGCTCGGGCAAATATTATGTGCTTTTATTAATTGGTTGGGCCAGGAACTATTCATTTGTTTGTTCAATTAGGCATGTGGATTAAGGTGCTGGTTCTTTTATTAGAGAAGTTATGCTGTTTTCTTTTCTTTCTTATCTTCCTTTACTAGTGTTGCAGTATTTTCCTTTCCCTTTACTCAGATTATTATAGCTATGAGTTTTTGATGGATGCAGCTACATGCTTTTTGCAGTTATGTGGAGGTAAACCTTCAGAGGGGGTATTTGTTGGTGCATTCCTGTCTATGTCTTCTACAGCAGTGGTAAACCTCCATGAACTGTGTATTGACTGAGAACCTGGATTGGTGAAAAATTTTAGCATGTTACAGTTGAATGAATAATAAGCTGGTAGGATAGTCTCTGTCAGTTTGGATAGAGAACATGCTTGTTTGAGGATTGCTTTACAAACATTTGCTTGCATGTAGAACTAGTTACTAGTTTGTCTTTTATGGTTCCAGGTTTTGAAATTTTTGATGGAAAGAAATAGTATAAGTGCCCTTCATGGTCAGGTTACAATTGGAACTCTCATCCTTCAGGTATTTATTTTCTTGGTCATCATAGCAGTTAAAAATATATGTAGTTCACTTGTGCATAGATACTTGAGTTTTATGAAGTTTTGAACTATCATGGGTTGGCAGGACTGTGCTGTGGGTTTGTTGTTTGCTTTACTTCCAGTTCTAGGTGGCAGTTCTGGCATCCTTCAAGGAGTATTATCCATGACTAAATCGTAAGTGAAAAATTCTATAAGATCATCTCTCTTTGATGGGGTGGAGGCTAAGATCATCAATTTGTAGGTTTCTGATGATACATTCTCATTCAATTCTCAGTTTGGTGGTGTTGATTACATTTCTGGCCATTTTGACAATATTATCTAGGACTTGTGTGCCCTGGTTTCTTAAGCTCATGATAAGCCTATCATCACAGGTAATGTGTATTATTTGGATCAGCTCTTTTATCTATGTAGACAATTTATTGATATGCAAATATTTATTTGCGCAGACTAATGAGCTATATCAGTTGGCATCGGTGGCATTTTGCTTGCTTGTTGCTTGGGTTTGCTCATTTCCTTCTTTCTTCTTGCATTGTAATTAACTTATGCATTTCTTTACAGCATAAACATCAGAAGGTTGCTGCACTTTTTATAGTTGTTATTCTTGCAACTTTTTTTCTTTTCTAACCAATAAGACCGACGTTCCTTTACATTTACCAAGCAAGTTATTTGTTCATGTATATATATGCATGTACATAACATAGCTTGTTATGGTGCTCCAGTGTAGTGATAAGCTGGGTTTAAGCCTTGAGCTGGGTTCTTTTGCTGCGGGAGTGATGATATCAACCACTGATCTGGGTCAGCATACACTTGAACAAGTAAGATTTTTAGTTGTGTACCCTGTCTGGAACTATTAGTGCCTTAATTCTTTTGTAGTTTTGTTATGCTTTTATAGTCTTGTTTATAATTAAGTGTTTTGCATTGTGAGGTATATTTATGTATGATCTAATAATTGGTTAATGTCCCTTATTGACCATCCTGTACACAGTTACAGTTAATATTGGAATCCCTTTCCAGACTGAGCTATCAGTGTTAATGTTATTGAATCAGCTAAATACAATTACTGATTATGAATATGTAAGATGAGTGGTTCTTGTACAAAGGTAATTCATGGTTCTGCCTGTACTAGTTGTGCAGTTTGCAATCCATTAGGCACTACTGAAGGCATCCTGGTGTGGCTTTGAGGAATTTTAGTTGGTATTTTATGCTTACTGGAGTTTGTTTTCCTTAGTTAATTTGGTTTATGAAATATGATGCTTGTTTGAGAGCTGTAATTTTTGAATTTGAGTACACTAATATGTGAACTTTCTTTATTCATTTTTGTTGGTAGTACTCTAGAACTAATACAAGGGAGGGCGCCATTGCAGTGTTCTTGCCTTGTTATGCATTGCTTCCTTAGTGATGCTTCTGATTAACAATGAAATTCTGTCTTTTGATTTGTCTCTTATATACAGGTTGAGCCCATTCGCAATTTCTTTGCTGCTCTTTTCCTTGCCAGCATTGGGATGCTAATTCATGTGCATTTCCTTTGGAATCATGTTGATATATTGCTGGCAGCTGTAATATTGGTGATTGTTATTAAAACAATAGTAGTTGCTGCAGTTGTCAAGGGATTTAGATACAGCAACAAAACTTCGCTTCTTGTATGAGTTGAGCATAGTACTTGCATATTGTATTCATTTTGACATCATTCTGTATAGGAGCCTTAGTTCCTTTCAACTTAATGTTGTAGGTTGGGATGTCTTTGGCTCAAATTGGGGAATTTGCTTTTGTTCTTTTGAGTCGTGCTTCTAATCTTCATCTAGTTGAGGTTTGTACTCCATTGCTTTAATCTTCATTTAATTGATGTTTCTAATGTCCATGAGGCTGACTCTCATTCTCTCTTCAACTGCCAACTTCCTCTCACCATTTGATTGCAGGTGTCCCCCAAATTTATCTAACCAATGGATTTACTTAATTTAGAAGTGTTGTTAAGTGCACTATGAGTTTTTACCTGAAAACGAGTATTCTCTTTCTGTGGCTTTTTTACTTGACAATATTGCTGAATTTTTTTCACTGCTGCAGGGCAAACTTTACCTGCTACTTCTGGGCACAACAGCTCTTAGTTTGGTAAGTGAACCATGGCCTTACTGATGTTTTGCATTGTATTCCCTTCAAGAAAAAAAAGAGAAGGAAAAGACATTTGAGATTCTCCGTGGTCTTATTATTCTGAGTGAGTAGTGAGCATGCAACTGGACGGCAGTTTGAACCAATGCAACCTCAATAAAGTCTTGCTGCAGTTGCTTTTCTGTTTATAGCTTCAACTCTCAAGAGCAATATTCTATCCGAAATGATGCAACTGGTTTAAGCATTTTATGATCAGAATGGAAATTTTACTTTTAAAGTACCCAATTTTGCTGCAACTAGCCAATTTCATGAAGATCTTTCCTTGTTAAAATTGCATTCTAGTGTAAGACACTGAACTGAAATTCTATTAAGATTTCAAATTGTGCTCATCAAATAACTGTGCAGGTCACTACTCCATTGCTTTTCAAGCTGATTCCAGCTGTTGTTCATCTTGGTGTGCTCTTGCGGTGGTTCCCCCCTGATGGTCCTAGCGAGGTAATCAATCTGCCTTTGAATATAAACTTGATGGTATAATGGTAGAATATAAGAGATCACCAGGAGAAGATTGCCATCTTTTAAACTTTTACCTAATTCTTGCTAGAACAAGTGTTTTGAGGTTATGTTGAATATGATTTCTCCTCCCAGATTGGTTTTAAAGGAGATAGCCTTCGCGCAGACAGTGCTAAGCGTATTACGTTGATGGTCCAAGGCTCTCATGATTCATGATATTAAATAAAACATGAACCAGAAAAATGCAAATTTCAAGCCTTTACCTGATGGGGTTCTTATACTCTGGAGGACAGGTGCTTAAAAGTGCAAAGGAAGTTGACTGAGTGAACCGGTTCTTTTCCATTGCAAAGCTCGTCATGTGTTTGCCCACTGCCAATGTGAATTTCTAACCAAGCAAGACTGTACAAATAACAGCCAGCCCCGAGATATGAACAGCAATATATATATGATCATCATGCCGACACATTCTAATATTGGTTCAGGTCATCACATTTAAACTTTCCCAGATGACCTTTGTAATATAGCGTCAATTTTGTAATGTAATTCATTTCAATTTTTTTTTGCCCTTTTCCCCACTTACAATTGATTGGTTTATTTGTTTTATTTCAGTTTTTTGTTATTCTGGGTGAAGAAGTAGCCAGGTTAAAAATTGCAAGTGTATCCATTTATGCTTTTGTTCCTGTAGATACATCATACCTTGTAAACTAAAATTTTGTTTCGCATATTAAAATTCTTTGACGAGGCTTGTAACTTAGTGTACTTTTTCATGATATCAGACTCGGAAAATTGGAAGATTGTGCACTTTTGTCTCTGCCTCAACCTCTTTTTATAGGAGGAGCACAAGGCAAGATTATGAATTAAAGGTGACAGATGACAAAGGAGATATGAGAACCTCTTTTAATATTCCCTCCCTTCCTCGGCCTGTTGCTCAGTCCGTATGGTTCGTGGTATGCTAACAGCCTGAAGAGATCTGGATAACATCTATGGTTGGCAAGGTGTTGACGTGGTTAAGTGCACGGAACGGGGAGGCTAGAATTGACTCTTAGATCCTGAATCGCCATTTAAGGGACGAAAACTTAGTCAAACGCCGATTGAATAAACACTCTACTAGAAACGTGCATAGAATACTCAAATCTCTAGCCAGACTTTCCTAGTTGTCTGGATGTGTAGGTCAACATTCGTTTGTATGGGTAGGTTAGCTCGTTCACATTATGAAATCAAGGGAAAAACTTTTGTAATTTTGATGTTTAAACTTCAAACCTATCAGCGGTTCTGCACATGACCTGACCAGAATTTAAGATGGTTTTTTTCTTCGGGGTTCATGTCAGAGCTGATTGGGCGTTGAATTACATAAAGAGACGTAGGTGGAATATTTTTGGAACGTGGATAAGATGTCGTGGAACCAAGCGGACCACGCAAGCCTTTGGATTATACGGTTGACGGGTTTGAAGCAATTTTTGGGGATTGCTGCTTACTATGAAGCTATATATACGTCATAATACGTCATTAATATATTTCTTTTTCTGCTCAATGAATTCTTGTGTGACTATGCTTGACTTTGACTCTTTTTTTCCAATAGACCAGTGCAAGGAAAAAAACCATTCAAGAAATAATTCTTGGAACAGTATAGTTTGAATAAACGTGCAACAAAGGTAAGGTAATCAAACGTTCCTCCATTCGAGAGCCTAAGTTGCCTAGTAATTTTACAAGGTATATTTTATATTATATCCTTGGCGTGGATTTTGATTTTCCGCACCCCATTTTTGGGGCTTTGCAATTGCATTTGTCCTCATTTGACAGAGGGCCTTTGCGATTACAGTTTCTCCCACATTGTGGCGTGTCAGACGGGTGTAAATAAGGTATAACAAACACGAGTTGTTTTGAAAAGAAACACCAAAAAATAAAATAAAATAACAAAAAGAAAAAGAAAAAGAAGGGATGGTATAGTTAGCTCAAATGTCACTTTATTACAAAAGTGATGATTAAAATTTTCAAAATCATTTTGCCTCCGAGTAGGTAAAATTGACACTAATGTTTTTCTTTTTCTTTTATTTATTTATTTGTTGTCATATGCTTGAAAAGGATATGTGGAGCTTTCTTACACGTTCATACACCCATTAAGACAAAGCTACTTAATGGTTTGGTGGTACATTTCATCACACACACACACACAACATTTATTTATTTTGTTTGAAAATTCGAGTTTTAAATTTAATTTTCCTTTCCCAAATTTGTTTTTGTCTGGTTCGTTTCCCTCTCACATTTCCTTTAAATAAAAGCTGATGCCTAGTTATGAAAGAAACGTCTAGCTTTACACAAACTAACCTCGTGTAGTTCCATCTCAATGTACTAGTACTAATAGATAATACAAAGGCAAAGGCAATTGATTCACTTATTACTCGGTTTCTATATCTTCTTACAGCAAAATTAATTTATACTAATAATGTTAGTTGTAATTACTTGTAATTCTATGTACTGATAAATACTCAAATCAGAATTACACTGATCCTTCAAAACCTGTATTAAGTTTTCCCTTTAACATATGACCACTACTTTCTTGTGTAAAAAGTATACATATATATGAATTAATAAAAAAATCTACTTAATTTGTCTTTAAAAAAAAACCCCATGGTGCCGTAATATCTTGGATATGCGAGGTATTAATTAATTAATTATCATGACATTATTAGTAACTTTGGTTAAGATTTTTGTGATCAAAATTGAAAGTTACATTAGTTTAGGCATGAGATGTGTCCCACTAGGACCTTGTCAAACATGTCTAAAACGTGGTTCGCGAATTGATGTCATTCGTGACATAAAGTAATAACTAATAGTTAAAAGAAGAAATAAAAATAAATTTTTTTGAAGATGACATTCATGACATAATAACAACCTGTCAAAAGCTATTCAATAACTACATAATTATATGAAGCTAGGTTTTTTTCTTTCTTTTTTTTTTTTAAAAAAAAAACAAGTTGAAAAGAACGGAATATTAATTAATTAATTAATTAAATTGACAATATATATCCAGTGGACATTATTTGTTGCTGGGGAAATGCAATTCAATTCAACAAGTGAAAGACATCGAATAGCTTAAACATATATATCAAACAAATTCTTACATATACTCACTTCCAACCGCTTGTTTTCATGTAACAAATAACTACAAATGAACCCACCAAACCTCTATATATATATATATATATGCTACTCTATAGTCTATGCCACATTTATATTAAAAATTCGAATGAAAATGGCCATTTTCCCAATGATTTGTTTTATCTTTATTATAATCACCCACTTTTTACCTAAAGGACACTTAAATCTATTATTAGATGTTCAAACAAAAAAAACATTAGTGTCATTATTGGTACATTAATTTTGTCATAAATTAAACACTTTCCAATGGAATGCGACACAAGGTATAGTATCAACTAATAGTAAAAATATTCAGGCTTAAGGCTCAGTAAGTTTAATCTTTGATTGGTGCGTCTAGCTAGTGGTTAAGAATTCACAGGCTTTGATTCAATACTAGTATAGTTTTTTATGTTTGATTGGATGGTCAAAGTGTAGGTTTAGTAACTATGTTATAGGACAATTAGTCAAGTGGGAAATTAATGATAAGAACAATTGATTCGGAAAAAATAAAATTGGCTTTTGTACTAATAATCAACTCGGGTAATCATGGTTAATTGAAAGTTATTTCACTAAGTTTTATGTCACAATCTGAGTCATACTTAAAATATATTCATTAACAATACATTTATGCAATGAAAAGATGGGTGTTGAAGCTCTTAAAGAGGGAATTCACGTCTGGCTGGAAATGGAATTGTCAATGGAATATGTAAGGAATAGAATGGTGCAGTGAATTGCATAGAACCCCCCCCAAAAAAAAAAATTGCTAATAATGTCAAGCTATGACAATGGCGGCTATAGTGACAACCGTGAGATTGCAGATCTTGGAACATTAAAATACAGGGAATATATTATATCTATATCTATATAATATAGATAAAGTTTTTATCATGTAAAGGATTAATCATCCTAAGAACACACATGGGGTAGGGTATAAAAAGGTTGCTTGCAGGCAAAAGGTTCCAAAGAACTTGACACCTCATTGATGTTTACAGGGAGTAAATAAAAACATGTCTTGTTTGTTGAAAGGTCACTGTGTCTTGAAAGTAATCATAAATGTGATGAATGATATGGATTTCAATTTGGACAAACCAATCCATCAGACAGACAGACAGGAGCGAGTGAGTGAGAGCTAAGGAAGCTACGTATCTGTAGAATCTCAGTGGCTTGTTTTTTTTCACGTTGTATATACCATTTATTAGTTAGTTTGCTTAGAGGGAAGATGTAGAGTAGGATTCCCAGATAGAGAGGTCCCCCTTCTCCACAATCCTAAATTTCCAGTGGCTTCCCATGCGGCAGCAAAATGGCAAAATTCAATGCCAGTGCTACAAGGTGATAATGTATAGATTTATCAAGGCTTTTAAGCTTGTGGACAAGCTTCATTTCCTTACCTGTTTTCCTTATCTTTAAAAGCTGGAGTCAAAAATTGCCTGGAGGTGTGCCAGTTTTCTAGTCACACAATTTATTTTTTGTTCCCTTGCTTACCTTGCACAGATTTCATCGGTGTCTTTTCCATCCGATGATGTGCATGCACCATCCCAAGGCCTTGGTCCCACAGTCAATCCAAACAAAACTGGAAGATTTTTAAATGATGTCAAAGCTCTTGAAAACTTACTAGGTTGAATTTTATGGGGTTGAAAATTAACAGAAATACTATCTTCAAAACATTTTAAGTCTTTGGAGGGTGTCCAGTGTAGACCATTTTTAAGAAGTCAGCAGTCAATATGGTTTTCCTTTTTCCAAATTGAAACTAGGGTTTCAACCTTTCTGGTCTGTTGTACCAACTTGCCGCAAAAAAGTTCCTCTTGACAGGCTGTAATTCCATTACTGTAATAATTCAGCTCAAGTCGTTGAAGAATTTGAAATGTATAACAGGTTATCACTTGCTTCACAAGGAAAGAGGATTAGCTGTCAATCGAATTCAGGATTCGACTATTATCCGAGGCCTTTGTGGCATTACCAGGATCTTAATTAAGTCCCCAAGGCATTTGCTTGCTCCAATTTGATCAAAGTCTGGGCAAGCAATGTTTGCTTCTAGCTAGAAGAGTAGGACCCAGGAACAGGGCCCCCAAATTCCAGATTAATGTTTCTGATGGCTGAATTTTCAATTTATGGAGAAGCCAATAGCATGGTCCCGTTTTCCTGCTGGGACAAGATATACCTTGTCTTTTCTCATGTATTTATTCGCCAATGTCAATTATCATGTGCCATGAATATACCTTTCATGAAAAAGTGCGGTCTCTTCATCGGCATTTGCTGATAAATTTCTAGAGAAGCAGAGGAGGCATATGGGCCAGCTGTAAAGAGGAAGAGGAAGACACACAAATTTTCTTGTAAATAAAGAAGCAGAGGGCTGGCTATTGAAATCAGATTTCGACTAAAAATGGAACAATTTTAATTCTCTTTTTGGTCACCCTCACATTATAGCAACCGACACATGTTGCAAATGTTCTAACTTTATAATTTAATAGTAAAGTTACTGTTTACTTAGCACTTGATTACCGTAAAACAACCATTACAATCCCAGATGATCAGATTCCATTTCTTTCTTTCCTTTTCCCTATCTTTTCCCTTTAGCCACACGAGCATTATACATTTCTATAATGCTAAAAGAG